TTTTGCCAAAAATATCTTATATATAAGATGTGCCAATATTTTGGCTTGTCCTGTGGATTGTTTCAATCTTTATTCTTGTTATTTTATGTGTATAAGTGTTATGCCTGCATGTATGAAAGTACACCCGTGTTAGACAGTGCCCACAGAGGACAGACATTTGTGTGCTTCCTTGAGGGATACTTCTGTCCCATTGTCTTGCTCTCCTTTTCTAAGGTCCCCAACTATAATTATGTTTCACTTTCTCACCATTTTTTCGGTCTTTTTAAGACAGGGTCTCTCTGTAGTCCCAGCTGTCCTGGAACTCACTATGTAGACCAGGCTGGCCTTGAACTCACAGAGATCCGCCTGCCTCTGCCTCCCAAGTGCTGGGAAGGTTTCTTTTACTGATCCCCTGAAAACAAATGAAACCTTAATTTTTAAAACTATTATTCTTTTAAACATTTTATCACTAGCGTGTCTATGTGTGTGCTTATACATTATGGCCTGTATGTCTAGATTTGTGGATTCCTGAGATTGAACTTGGATTACCAGGCCTGTTTACCCTCTGAGCCCTCTTGCTGTCCCTAAATTGTTACTTATAAAAGACATTTTTTATGAAGGGCTGTAGTAGCATTGCTTGGGTCCGGGCATGCTTGGGACTATTAATTTGAAACACCAGTAGTACTTGGAAAATCAGAGGAAATTTTCCTTTTCTTTTTCCCACAGTTATCAGCTGTCACCAAAGGTTGTGACAAAAATTGGCAATATGTGGCTGTGCAGATATTTTCTCTGATTGAGAAGAGCCATATGCTTTCTTTTTTACAAGCTCTATTTATTTTTAAGTATCATTTGCTGTTATTTAACAATATTAAGGGAAATCTGTACTAAATACCAGATTGCTGGTGGCAAGTTGAAATTCTGTTACCAAAATTTTAAATCTCAATTTGCATGGATGAGAGGACAGCCAGATCGATATGCAAGACATCGCTCAGGTTTATGTGTTTTCAGATTAGAATTTGATCTTTCAAGCATCTGTTTCTATCTGCTTTATCTTTCCCCAGCGGCCCTGAAACATAGCTGTGATCGAGGTACTTGGGTGGGTTGCGCTGGGACGTGGAGAAAAGAGTACCTGAGTGACCTTGGGGGTGGGGGACCCTCACTGAGGAAGTGCTACTGAAGATACCTCTTGCAAGAGGATTGCTGGGAAGGCGTGCTGGGTGGAAGAGACAGTAAAGCAGAGGCCGTGGGTACCACGTCACATTTCCAGAAAGGGAAAGCACTTTTGTGTTCTTGAAGTGTAATCATTAATGGGAAAGGATGGTAAGAGATGAAGCTAGAGTGGTAGAGGGGCCATATCATGAGTAATCTTGTATGTCTTTGTCATTCACTCAGCAGATACAGCTTCTGTGTACCAGGTCTTGCTGTAGATACACAAAGATCACTGTTCATACAGAACATACGTTCTAATGGGAAGAAATAGGTTAATAATAATAATAATAAATAGATGAATGCATATAAAATAGAACAACTGATAAGAGGATGTTTGAGGGTAGGTATGATTTTAAGGGATCAAGAAAGACTGGAAAGTGGACCCGTGGGGTGAACATCTGTCTGAAAGTGTTCAAGGCTGAAGAAATGTGCAAAGCCTCTGAGCCAAAGATCTGGCTTGTTCAAGAAAATCTTAGGAGGAAAACATGGCTGAGTATAGTGGAAGGAGAAGACAGGATATGAGGTCCAGGAAGCAAAGAAAGCCAGGTCTTGAACCTTTACCTTCTCTGTAAGGATTCTGGGTAAAATGAGGAGTGACTAGAGTTTGGGGCTGAGTAAGACAGAACCCACCATATGTTTTGAAAGATCACTTTGAAATGGGTGGAGAGTTGGGAGTGAGGGACTGCTGTAGCAATATTGATGAGGGATGGTAGATTGGACCAGGGTAGCCACAGTGGGGTGACTAGGAGATAGTTTTTGCCCTATAGTTGATAAGCAGCCATTGAAGAATTTGGATCTGTAGAATAACAGGATTTGTGTGTTTAAAAAAATGATTCTGGCTGGGCGTGGTGGCACACGCCTTTAATCCCAGCACTTGCAAAGGCAGGCAGATCTCTGTGAGTTCAAGGCCAGCCTGGTCTACATAGTGAGGTCCAGGACAGCTGGGGCTATAGGGAGACCCTGTCTCAAAAAGACCAAAAAAATAAAAAAGATTCTGGCAGCCACGTGGAAGAAAGCTTGGAAAATTGAGATAATGGACTGGATTCCTTTCCAAAGCTCCAGTCACTAGGAATAAACACAGAAACCTCAAAAGGGATACAGGCTCAGGCCAAAAAGTGAGCCAACTTTTTGCCAAGAAACAGGAATAGAAATAGAAAATATTTAACTATTTGGAAATTCTTTTGTGAACCTTGCCAGGGAAGCCAGGTGAATGATTATGGTCAGTTTATTCTAGAGGTGGCCCGCCTTGATCATATTACCTCAGACCCTCACAGCATGCCAGGCACTCATGTGAGTTCAGTGCACCAGCTACCACAGCCAGGGAACGGCGAGGGGGCAGGGGGGGCATGATGATCATGGTCAACATTTCTTTTCTTTTCTTCTTTCTTTTTTTTGTATATGTATTGTTTGCACGTGTACTTGTTCATGTGGGGGTGGGGGTTGTATGTGTGTGTGCAGTCGTGTCTGCACATGTGCATGGGGATGTAGGGACCAGAGGTCAACACTGAACATCTTAGTGACTCTCCCCATTATTTTTTATTTTTATTTTTTAAATATTTTATCATTTTTAGGTGTATGAGTGTTTGGTTACATGTATATAAGTGCACCACATGCGTGCAATGCCCCACAGAAGCCAGAAGAGGGTGTCGGGTTCCCTAGAATTGGAGTTACAGATGGTCATTAGCCACTACATGGGTGCTGGGAATTGAACCCCAGATCCTCTGGAAGAACAGCAAGTGTTCTTAACTGCTGAGCCATCTCTCCAGCTACTTTCCCCATTATTTTTTGAGACAGGGACTCTCACTGAACCTGGAGTTCACCAGTTGGCTAGGCAGCAAGCTCCAGGAATCTACCTGTATCTTCCCCTCTCCTTCTGGGGTTACAGGTATATACCACCATTCCCAATTTTTATGTGGGCTCTGAAGATCCAACCATGGATCCTTATGCTTGTGTAGCAAGCACTTTATTGACTCAGCCACCTCCCCAAGCCCCATGGTTTCCATTTCCTAGAGGATGAAACTCAAGCAGAGGGCTCAGTGGCTCCCTGCAGGTCTCTGCCATGGTGCTGCCTGTCAAAAGATCTCATTGGGAGATCCCCAATTGTTTGGTCATCTCTAAAAGTAAGTGTAAAGAATTGATTACTTGTTTCCTTTTTGAGCTGTAGTGATCGTGGCTCCAGGGGGTTGGTCACTGCTGGGTAGAAAGATAATATTATTTCAAAACTCTTTGAGTCACCAGAAATGGAAATTAGCTTAAGAAACTGGTATAACCAAGGGGGAAAAGGTGCGCTGGATAGCTTTAGTGCCAACTTGACACACCTGGGTTGAGGGAGCCTCAATTGGGGAATTGTCTTCATTGGACTGGTCTGTGGCCATGTCCATGGGTCATTTTCTTGATTTTTGAGTGACGTGAGAGGGTCCAGTCTACTGTGGGTGGTGTCATCCCTGGGCAGGTGGGCCTGTGTTGCATAAGAAAGGCTGAACAGGGGCCAGGGGAACAAGTCAGTAAGCAGTGATCCTCCATGGCCTGTGCTCCAGCTCCTGCCTCCGGGTTCCTGCCCTGAGTTCCTACCTTGGGCTCCCTGATGAACTATGACCTGGGAGATGTAAGACGAACAAACCCTTTCCTCCCCAAGTTGGTAGTGGTCAGCATGTTTTGTCACAGCAGTGGAGAAACAAACTAGGACAAAAGGCATGTGTGTACATGGGCGCACATGTTGGCGAGCTCAGAAAATGGCCCAGAAGGTGTGGCTGGACCCGGGGACTCACATGCTGCTCTCTTCTGTGGCCTGAATGTTGACTTGGGCCTTTTCTTCCATCAGTGGCTTCCTCATATAGACAGGAGGACTGCCCACTGGCAGCTGCACAGTAAATCCTCCATACAGCACCTTGATTCCACCAGAAGCAAAAGTGTCTTTCTGAGACGCCAAGAAGATCCAAAAGTGTGAGATGCTCCTGGGCTTAGCCCCAGCTCCACTCTTGGACTGGAGGTGTGGGGTCAGCCCCTGGTGTGCTGCATGTTCTCAAAAAGTAGTGAGTAGAAGGCTGTGGGTGATTATCTCCAGGCACTGAATTGCTGTAGAAAGAAAGGAGCCTGTTTGAGCACCGTTCAGCAGGATCTGGGGTTGGTTCTCCCATTCTCTGTGGTTGGGCATGTAACAACTCCATGGTTTGTCTGACTTTACCAACTTTTTCATTTTGTTCTTGTGATTTTTAAAAAGTCCATTCTTTGGTAATTTCATACATTATTACATTATACTTGGATCATATCTACCCCTATTCCCCTACCTTCAACTCTTCTGAGTTCTTCTGTTTTTGAAACAGAGTCTCGCTATGTTGCCCAAGTAGCCTCTAGCTCCTGGACTCATGTAGGTTGCTCTCAGCTTCCTGGATAGCTGGGATTACAAACATGTAATACTGCATTTAATTTTACCTGTTTATTTGTTTAGATTTCTTTGCAGTGCTAGGGATGGAACCCTGGGCCTCACACATATTACGCAGGCACTCTTGCTGAGCCACACACTACCCACAGCCTTACTTTATTTAGTTTTTAAGGGCAGGGTGTGATTTAGAGTTCAGCAGCCTTTCTTAGAACAGGAATTTGTTCTAGGCCTGTGCAGCTTGGTTAGGAGGAAAAGGCAGGCAGTCCCCTATCACACTGTCACTATTTCTTTATATGGTCACTCATTTTTTCTTTCTCAAAGGAAATGGTAATAATGTTTTTGAGGCTAGAGAAAACAAGAGATAGTTTTATTGTTGTTGTTTTAATATTTTATTTATTTTTATTTTATGCGTATGAGAGTGCCTGCATGTAAGTGCACCCATGTCATGCAGTGCCCATGGAGGTCAGAAGAGAGCATTGGATTCCCCTGGAACTGGCATTACGAATGGTTGTTAGTTGCCATGTGGGTGCTGGGACCCCAATCCAGGTCCTCTGCAAGAGTAGCCAGTGCTCTTAACCACTGAGCCATCTCTCCAGCCCCAAGAGATAGTTTTTTAAAAATGGTCCTCAATTTTTTTCTTTTTCAACGCTGACCCAAATTTAGATGTTAGGTTTTCATTATAATCTGGTACACACATGCCATTGTATACTTAACAAAGTACTGTATAAAACAATATTTGGCCCTTACCAAATGCAACGCACTCTAATCACTTCCATTCATTTAAAATTCCATTTTTAAAAGCACGTACAGCCACTATAAATTCATTTTGAAACTCACTAATGGGCAGCCGCAGAGTGTGGAAAACATGAATTACATCAGCCATATGCAGCCGTGGCAGGTTAGTTTTCCAGGACTGCCTCTGTAGACCAGGTGCCTTAAACAGCAGAAGCTTTTCTCTCGAAGTTCAGAAGCGAGTGGTCAAGATCAAGGTGGCCACAGGGTCCATTTCTTCTAAGGGCTGGGAGGGAGCATCAGTCCCCGACTCCTCAGCTTGTCCTGGCTGCCCGCCAGTCTTTGGTGTTCCTCAGCTTTTAGATGCATCACCTTGATCTCTGCCTTCATCATGACACTGTGTTCTCTCTAGGTGTCCAAATTAATTCTCTTTTAAGGACACCAGTCTTATTAACTCAGGGGCCTGCCCACCCCCTGCTATGTGACTGCATCACAGCTTGCCTGACCCTATTTCCCAATTAAGGTTGTGTTCTGACATACTAGGGGTTCAGTATTCAGCATATGAATGTTGGGTGAGGCCCACAATTCAACTCATAACCAAGGATAGAAACACAATATTGAAAATCAGTAAAAAGCCCCATCGTATTAATCCCATGTTCCTTACAGACTCAGCTGAGCATTTTACTTCATCAACTCATTTTTTAGTTGAGGAAGCCCAACTAGGAAGGCTTTAACCCTGGTCTCCTTGCTTCAGAGCATGCTGCCTCCTGTGTACCTCTTTCCTGCTCTACCTAAATCAAGAGCCATACATGGTCATTTGGTCCAGATGGAAATGCTAAATCCAGGCGGTAAACACTACAAAATTGTGCTGAAGTTCATTGTAGTGAAGCCTTCTGCAGGGGACTGACAGGTGCCCGTCCCTAAGGGTCCCGTCTCAGCAGTCTGTGGCTCACAGGCTGTCTTAGCATGGACTGCCAGCCAACCTTTGGCCTAGTCCATTGCGCTCCCCTCCCACCACAAACTGCTGCATTCCTTACAACACTCAGCGTCTAGCCAGCTTCCCTCCTTGTGTGCCTCCCCATCCTCCTGAATTTAGATCAGGGAACAGAGTAGGAGAGAAGGAAATGAGCCAGAAAATAGAAAATTAATACTTGGTGGAATCATCATATTTTAAAATTAATTTATAGGCAATGTCAGATAACAGGAGTTAAATCATTTTATCAGCAGACGCGCTTTAGGATTTGGAAATCGGCATTCATCAGTGTAAATCAGTCTTGGGAATGGTCTCTAGGGATGAAAGTTGATTTGGGATGGGCAGAAATGTAAATAGAAAATTAGCCATGCCCTTTTCTTTCACATAGAACCTGAAGTATTTCCATATCACACTGAGTGATAGCAGCAGCTAAGTGGCAACAGAGAGGTGAAGCTTCAGGTTTATGGTGTTCAGGTTTATGGTTAGCCTGCTTTTCATACTTACTCTGCCTGTCAGCCCTGGGGAACTGGTGCTGTGAAGGGCATTCATTTCAGGGTGCACTTCCAACCCATAATTTCAGGAATGACTTAATCCCCTCCTGCAGGGCCCATTTTCGCAAGAGGTTCAGTTGCCATGTTTCTGCCCTGGGTCCCTGAGCAGGAGCATCCTCTGGCTGTCACATTCATACCAAGAAAGTCCTCCATGATTGAAGACCTGCCTTTCATTTCCTCACATTGCAGCTCTCTGTCAAGGGCGAGTGGTGAGAGTTCCTGCGGGCACCCTATTCCGGGTGGTGGGCACCGAGCTGGTGGTCCCCTGCAATGTCAGCGACTATGACGGCCCCAGGGAACAGAACTTTGACTGGAGCTTCTCTTCTCCGGGAAGCAGCTTTGTGGAGCTCGCAAGCACCTGGGAGGTGGGCTTCCCAGCGCAGCAGTACCGGGAGCGGCTGCAGAGGGGCGATATCCTGTTGAAGCGAACTGCCAACGATGCGGTTGAGCTCCATATAAAGAACATCCAGCCCTCAGACCAAGGCCACTACAAGTGTTCTACTCCGAGCACAGATGCCACTGTCCAAGGCAACTATGAAGATACAGTGCAGGTTAAAGGTACAGTCCACACACAGGGCCCTCATGCTGGGGACCAGAACTTCCTCTGCTTTCTGCTGCTGTGACTTTGCAGAGAGATTTAATTCCCCTGTCCAGTGCAGTGGTAACAGGCAGAGGGTGGGCCAGGGGCAACAGGGGACCCCCTTCTCCTCTCCAGTGTAATTTGGAAGTATCCTGTGGCCAATCAGTTGTAGGCAGCATGGTGTGGTCACCAGTGAGAGCCCAAATCTGGAGCCAGCTGGCCTATGCAGTCTGACTTTCTGGCTCTGCCCCTTGTCAGCTGAATGACTCTGGGTCAGTTCCATGCCTCAGCTTCCTCTGTCCAACAGAGCCTTCCTTAAAAGGTGTGGACGTAGGCGAGCTAAGCCATGCCAGGCCTCACAGCAGCACCCCAGCAAGCATTCAGCTCAGAGACAAGAAGCTGGTGATCATGATGAGGAGGTTCGGGCTTATAGGAGAAACAGATGCACCAGAGTTCCCCTTTCTCTCTGACCTTCAGAGGTTGATATCCATTTGTATCAGGAGTTGTATATGCTGCATGTAGACAAAGTACCATGTGGACACTGCTGTTTCACTGACCGAGCTGTGCAAAACACCACATGGTCAGCATCTGGAGTGTCTTGAGTTTGGTTTTTTTTTTTTCTTCCATCTTGGAAGTGCTGCTGGATTTACTCACACGCTCAATTCTCTAAACCCAATGGAAACGATAGTACATGATGCTCCTCTCATTTACACACAAGGAAATGGGAGAGCCATAGGTTAATTACTTGCTTAAAAAATGACACAGCTGATTAGTAAAGGAACAAGAACAAACCATTTTAATTTGAGACTAACAAAACAGAAACATTATTATTGTTATTATTATTAATTATACATTTATTTGTGCCCTCCCTTGTTTCTGAAAGGATTCCAGGGTAGGAATGTACATAATAATCTTGAAAGTAGAGAGCGATCATACGAAAGGAGTGGGTGCGTGCAGGTATCCCTTCCTTCAGTCGTGGTACAGTCCACCATATTTCAGCTACTGCTATTCCTTTACTAAACCGTAAGGGGATGAAATGTCAGTTGGGTCCAGCTAGTAGGTACCAGTGCATTAGCCCATCAGATACACTTCTTCCATCTTCCTTAACAGACACTGAACATAGATGGCTGTGATGGCACACCTCTATAATATTAGCACTTGGGAGGCTGAGGCAGGAGGATTGAGAGTTTGAGGCCAGCCTGGGCTGAACTACATAGTGAGCTCAAAGCCAACCTGAGCTACATAACAAGACTCCATCTCCAAGAGGGGGTCGCAGGGAAAGAAAGGAGAAAGGACAGAGGCTGCAGCTCAGTTACAGAGTGATTGCCTAGCATATTCAAGGCCCTGGGTTTGACTTCTAGAACTGAATATATTCTTTTTTTGTTTTGTTTTTTTAATATTTTATCTATTTATTTTTATTTTTTATGTATATGAACGTATTGCCTGCATGTAGTGCACTCATGTTGTGCAGTGCTTGTGGAGATCAGAAGAAGGCATCAGATCCTCTGGAACTGGAGTTATGGATGGGACAGTCGTTAGCTACCACAGGGGTGCTAGGAGGAATTGAACCCCGGGTTCTCTGTAAGAGCAGTCAGTGCTCTTAACTGCTGAGCTGCCTCTCCAGCCTGTTTTGTTTTTTAAGACAGACTTTCTATAAAACATTCCTTTTTAAATTTTTTTTGACTTATTCATTTTTATTTTATGTTTATTTTATTTTATATTCATTTTATTTTATGTGTTATGCCTGCATGTATGTAAGTACACCTGTGTCATGCAGTGCCCAAAGAGGACAGAAGAGGGCATTAGATCCCCTGGAACTGGAGTTACAGATGGTAGTCAGTTGCTATGTGGGTGCTGGGATTCAAACCCAAGTCCTCTGTAAGAGCAGCCAGTGCTCTTAACCACTAAGCCATCTCTCTATCCCCCATAAAACATTCTTGCATGGAGTTAGATAATGCAGCAGACCATCCCTCTAGTAGGTCAGATGCACCTTGTGATCTATCTTGAGGAGAGGAAGGATGACAGGAGGCCCCACCATCCCCCACTATCTTCCTGTTTCTTCTCTAAGTCGTTGAAGACAAGAGAAACAACGACTTCAGGAGAGCAAATGGATGACACGAGAGAGGCTGACTGACTGCTGGCATGAGCTCTGCATGGTCCAGGGTCCACCTGGCTTTCAGCTTTTGGGTCTTGAAGCTATGCATCCTTACTCTGAGAGAAGGATCTGTGCTAGCCCCAGTACTCAGATTGATGTGCATACTAGAAGAAAGCCATTATATTAGTTTTGTAGAAGGGATGGGTCTTTGTGAAGTGTTCTTCTAAAGGAGTTACAGTTCTATCATCCCAAGTGATCTCTTCAAGGACACTGAATTAGTTTCTGACTACCGAGTTGAGGGAAAAGCCAAAGAGATAATGACTAGAGATATTTGAGGAGTCACAGGTCTAACCCTTGATGAGCCAGCCCCTTGGTAGACACCCCCATCCACCACTGTGCTCAGAGCACCAGCGCCTATCACTTCACTTCTGAATAGCACTTACCCAGGTCTCCTTGACTCCTTACCCCCTTTTCTAGACTCTGTAAGCACTGCCTTAGCACCAGTAGGTGCTAGGAGTTAGCAGCAGAGCCTTCAGTGTTCCTTGGCCCCTTCCTATCCTATGGAACCCCCTCTTACCCTAACCATTGTGAGCAGTATCCAGAGCTTGAGCCATAGGCAGCTCTTGCTGTCATCATTCCCTGATGATCTTGGTGCTTTAACACATAGTGGGTTGTCTGTCTCTACACTGCGGGCTCCCACCTCCAGCCCTGTGTCCTAACCAACAGAGTGTTTGGCAGTCACACCAGGCTATTTTATCATGATACCAGGCACTGCCTGGAACTTGTTGGATTCTCCTGTCAACATGATGCAGGTGGAGTGGTTACCCCCACTTTTGGGAAACTGAGACACAGTGGCAAGGTAACCTGCGTTACTGGGACAAACACACTCACTAGCTCCTTCTAGCTGGAGTTTTATTGCTGCCTCGTTTACCTTTTTACTTTTTCAAGTCTGAAAGTCAGTTGAGATCCTGGGTGAATCAGAATGGGTGACTTGCCCATCTGGGCTTTAGAATAGGAAATGGAAGGAAGAATTAATTGTTGATGGTAAGAGCAATGAGCTTTGACTTAAGGCCAGAATTGTGGAAGGTGGCCTGTGTTTTCTGCGTGGGGCAGGACCGATGGTGGCTGGTGACTGATGTGCTCCCTCTATTCCCTACAGTGCTGGCTGATGCCCTCGAAGTGGGTCCCAACTCTCGGTCTCCTCCAAGCCTGAGCCTGCGCGAGGGGGAGCCCTTTGAGCTGCGATGTACCGCATCTACCATGTCACCACTGCACACTCACCTGGCACTGCTCTGGGAGCTGCACCGTGGCCCCGTGCACCGCAGCATCCTCACCCTCACCCATGAGGGCAGGTTCCATCCTGGTCCAGGCTATGAGCAGCGGTACCACAGCGGGGATGTACTCCTGGACACCGTGGGCAGTGATGCCTACCGTCTTTCTGTGTCCCGAGCCCTGTCCGCAGACCAGGGCTCCTACAGGTGTGTGGTCAGTGAGTGGATCGAAGAGCAGGGCAGCTGGCAAGAAATCCAAGAAAAAGCTGTGGAAGTAGCCACTGTGGTGATCCAGCCAACAGGTGAGCTTTCAGAAATGTTACACTGATTAGAACAAGTAAAGATGCAAAGTACCAGGCCAGAGGCCCCGGCCTTTCAGAAAAGAGCTATTTCTGCCTCTCCTATGAAGCCTCTCTTTATTGGTGAAGGGAGCAGGGTGGTGTTGGTAGCTTTGTTGGGGAATGGCGCCTCTGTTTTGAGCTGTACACAAGGGTTTTACATTCCTGCTGTATATTCCAAACTTGGGCCTATGGGAAGTGGTGCCTCACGCTGCACAGGAAGGATTTTCTGTGACTGTCCTTCTCATAGTGAGGACCCACCTGGTGTTCCCTGGGGGCGCGGGGCAGATCTGCCTACACCTGTTGCCTTAGCTTTTTCCTGTTTGCTGTTTCCTGAGTCCTTAGGTCTGCTTCTGCCCATGGCTGGTGGGGAGTAGATCTGGCTGACCCCAAACCTCTTGCCTAATCTGCATCCTTTTGGACCTCCTTTCCTACCCCCTTGTGCCATCCCCTGCAAAGGGATGGGCTTCTTGCTTCCTGTGTCATGTATATTCCAGAAAGTTCAGCCCCAAAGGGTCCATACAGAAAGCTCTTTGTCCTATAATGTATAAATCTGCCTTTTTAAAAAACCTCTCACTCCCACTACAGAAGCAATTAAAAAAATCAAAAAGGCACCTCAGGAAACACATAAAACAGAGAGGAGAGAGAAAAAAGAGAAACACTCTCACTGTTCCACAAACATTGGTGGGGAACCTGTGTGCTTAATTCTGTGCTGGGCTGCCGTCAGACATGCTGCAGACTCAGTCCTAGGCCATGTAGAGCTTGCAGCTTCTTGGGGAAGGTGGGGACAGAGTACAGAGACCATTGCAGGGCACTATCACTGCTGGGGACTGCCCAGTGTGCTTGGTTTTCTAGGAGCCTAACATCTCAGGTCAAGTAGCGACTGCTGCCTCCTGTTTTTAATCAGGAAAGGCCTTGGCTGGACTCTGAGCAGAAATGTGAGTGTGTGGCCTCTCTGTTGAGCTATAAGGGAAAGCAGGAAGGGATGTGCAGAGAACAAGTTGCGGTGTCCTGGGCAGCAGCATTTATGTGCGTGTGGAGGTGGGTGTGAAAAGCAAGACTGAGCTTCCCTCTTTGAATGGCTTGTGACAGCTGCCGAGAGGAGTGGCCTGTCATGGTCAGCCTTGGTTCCACTGGCTACAGAAATGGCTTTCCAGAATGACTAAGGTCACCTTCTTTAGCAGAAGTGATTGTCTAGAATCTGCCCTAGGAAGCCTCTAGCTATTTGTCTTGCATCAGACTATTTTAATGAGGCAGGCAGGGCAAGGTAAGAGTTTCAACTTAGCAGCACGTTAACTATTTTATGCTGGGATTTCTACTGTAAAGATGTTTTTTTGTTTGTTTGTTTCAAACACATCATGAACCCCACAGCATCTAGTTATAAGATTGGAACTCTGAAACTATCAGACAGTTTATAACATCTAGCTCTAACCTGAGACTGAGGGTTCCCAATCCTTTCTGGTTCTGAGGGTTGAATCCAGGGCTCCACATTTGCCAGGCAAGTTCTTTACTGCTGACCCATGTTGCCCTTTTTTGCATGATCTTTTTTTTTCTTGGTTTTTTTGAGATAGGGTCTCCCTGTAGCCCCAGCAGGCCTAGAGCTCACTAAGTAGACCAGGCTGACCATGGCCTACCTACATTGCCCTTTTTATTTTGAGATAGCACCTTGCTAAGCCCCCTCAGCTGGTCTCAAACTTGTGATCCTCCTGCCTCGGTTTTGGGATAGCTAGAATTACAGGCCCACACAACAATAGTCAGCTTCATGATTTTTTGTGTGTGTATGAGCCTCTTTGACAGTCTTTTAAAGCCCATAAGTCCTTCCTTAAAATGAACATGTCTTAATTTATAAAACACAATACACAAGGTGACAGAGGGAAAGAATTAATTAAAGTAGTTATCAAAATATTTTTAAGACACTTTTGTTTTATACTAATATTATGCTTCTTTTTAACATGTGGATAATAAGACATATTGACATGCCTAACAACTTATAATTTCTAGAGAACAGTGAATGTAAATGATGTTTCAGCTATCTAACTACTGCAAAGTGATGTGAAAAGATCTGTGATTTCAATTAGGGATCAGGCCCTGGGCACAGGCGTACTATACTGGTTGCTTACATTCACAAAGGAAAGAGATGCTACATATCAGGGAAGGTTAATGAAAATAAAAATGAATAAAAATTTCCCATACACATTCACAGATCTATAAATTCTCTGCAGACTGCAGATTAAGAACCACCAATGCTTAAGGGATGGTCTTTTGCCTCTTTGTACACCTGCACTATCCACTGGTGCTTGCTCATGTTCCCTGACCTCAGTGATGTTGCAAATGGCACAGAGCCACTTAGATAGGAAAGCTGTGTTAGCCTATGTGGTAGGTCCCCCTGATCCTAGGAGTGGTCTAGGGGTGCAAATCTTAACATCCGGTTTATGGACTCAGTTATATTCTACTGGAGACAGTCTGAACCATTGACGGTTTTGCCTAAATCCTCTCTTACATTCTGTATTCTTGGAATTGGTCCCCCGTCCCCCCTTTCCCCATCCCCTTCAACCCAATCCATCTCATCTCCCATTGCCTGACCTCCAAGTCAGAATGTATGTGACCCATGGTCAGTGATATGATATTTAGCCACTTTCACTGAGAAAATGACACTACATGGTCGAAAAGACATTCCTGCCAATATTCCTGGAGCCCAAGAATGCGTTTCTTGATCTGTACAGCCCACAGGTATTTGTAGGACTGTTTCTTCACTGACCAAGGTCCCCTCCAGAGTCATTTTTACCTGTAGTAGCTGGCAGCTTAGCAGCACTAGCTCCAGCAGATTTCAACTTCTCTGACCATATGTGTGGAATGGTTCAAGCTGCAGAACCTGGCTCAGAGCAGCCAGCTCCTTGAGTCCTTTTAAAAGATATCTTCACATTACTTTTGGCCTCATTAAAAGGATGAGGGAAGAGGATGAATTTGGAGCATGGTGGGTGGAAAGACAAACTAAACTTTCAAATTCCTTTTTCTCATACTATGCCTGCCTCATTTTCTGTCGCATGTCTGGATGGATGTTTGAGTGTGGCTTGAAATATTGTCAGGATTTGGAAATATTCACGTGGAAGCAATATGCGTAAAAGGACATAGGCTCTGGGGCTGGGTCTTTTCTGAACAGGACACCAGCCTTTGTCCTTAAGCTTCTGGAGGACAACTGTGAATTCTGAATGACTTTCTAGAAGGCAGAGTCTGTGCCTCACTTAAATCCCCTGAGAGAGCTTTGCTGCTGTTTATCATCTAAGCCATTGTTCCCAGAATGTATCACAACTTGAATGTTTTTTCCACTCTGATTACAGATGTTCAACATCTTCCTAAATATCCCCTGAATAGAGTAAAATATTTCCATGTAAAAAGCTTTGACAAAGGAATCGTGAAATGAGATCTGCCTTGAGTTTGTGACACCAAATACTTCAAGACTTCATCTGAATGTAGCCTACTGTTAATTATCCACAACCATGGGAGGACAGCAGCACGGAGAATGCTGAACTCATTGGGTCTGGGCTTTAGAGTGTCTCATAGCTGAGCGTGGGTAAAAAATGATACTCTCTGCACAGCACCTTGAAGGATTGACTCATGAGGATTGTAGGGTACCACTTTCCCCCTCACCTGAGGAGTCTTCACCTTTTCTTCTCCCCTCTTTGAGGAGCTGGTGTTGAACCTAGGGCCTCATTCATGCCCAGCCAAGGATCTTCACTTCAGTCTAGAAGACCGCTTAATTTTCACTCCTGGCCTTCCATTCCCCAGCCCCAACTAGACACTCTGTATCTAGCAGAACTAAGTTGTCTTTTTAAAAAAATAAAATAAAACCACCTAAGTTGTATTGTGCACATGGAAAACAATAGTTTTACTTGCATGCTATGCAGTGGACAACATCTTAAACAAAAGCGCTCTTGACAGTTAAGAACTGAGTTCCTGGGACTAGAGAGTTGGCTCAGTGGTTAAGAGCACTGACTGCTCTTGTAGATGCCTCAGGTTCAGTTCCCAGCACCCACATGGTGGCTAACAACTGTTCATAACTCCAGTTCCAGGGGATCCAACTCCCTCTTCTGACCTCTGTGGGCACTGCATGGCAAGTGCTGTGCTTTTATACATACAGGCAAAACATTTATACACATAAAATAACAGTAAGTAAATAAAATTCTTAAAAAAAAACCAAAAAACAAAAAAACTGAGTTCCTGTAGGTGGGCAGTCTCAATTCAAATCCCAGCTCTGAGCCACACATGGTGGCTCACATCTTTAATCCCAGCACCTAGAAGGCAGAGGCGTATGGATCTCTGTGAGATCAAGGCCAGGCAGGTCTACAGAGCAAGTTCTAGCCCAGTCAAAGCTACATAGTAAGACCCTGTCTCAAAAAATGAAAACGAACTGTCAAATCCCAGCTCTACAATATATATATTAATTAGCTCAGTAACTTGAGGCAAATGACTTATCTGTGCTTCAGGCTCGTTATGGTAAAATTACCATACTAGTGCTCACCTGCGGGATTACTGTGACGACTAACTTATAAAGCACTCAGAACAGCGTATGGCATATAGAAACTACATGTAAGTGTTTGCTGCTCTTCGTTTCTTCTCATCTCCAAAAACAATCTAATGTGTGTCATGAATTTATTCATTAACTGTTCCTTAAGCACTTTCAACTGCACAAAGCCTTCTAATTTTAATGGCATAAATCAGAACTGAAAAGGAGGTGATCCAGTGGGAGATGAGGAGGAGGGAGGTGGAAGGGCAAACGTCATTCAGATCACTAAATGGACTTGTTTTGCATTTCCCAGCTCTGCAATTAGTTGTACCTAGGACAGTGTCCGTGGCTGAAGGAAAAGACCTGGACCTGTCCTGCAATATCACAACCGACCGCGTAGACGATGTCCGGCCTGAGGTGACGTGGTACTTCAAAAGGACACCTGATACCACCTTGCTTGCCTCCCACATGTTGGCTCGACTGGACCGTGATTCTCTGATGCACAGCTCACCACACGTTGCTCTCAGTCACGTGGATACCCGCTCCTACCATCTGCTGGTGCGAGATGTTAGCAAAGAAAACTCTGGCTATTACCTGTGCCTTGTGGCCCTCTGGGCTCCTGGACACAATAGGAGCTGGTACAAGGTAGCAGAGGCCTTATCTCCCCTATCTGGCGTGAGCGTGACCTGGCTCGGTGAGTGGCGTGGAGAGTGACTTTTGGCCTCTCAGCTTAATAATTCCTGTGTACTCATCAGGCATGTAGTGCTTGGAGTTCTGCCTCATTTAGACATTTGTGTCAGACAAGTGTCCTTGAACTCCCCAGCTCCCAGGCTGAAGGAAAGCACAATTGGCTGAAACACAGTCTGTCCGGCAGGGAAAGCATAGGTGATGTTTGTCCCAGTGCCCTTGCCTGAGGATGTGGTTTCCTTTGTTGAGATCTGTCTGCCTGTGAGAATTGAGCTGAATGGCTCTCCACAGTGGTTCTTTGTAGATGGGAGAGGCGGCTGCTCTCTGCTTCTTCCTAGATTCTGGACACTAATGTCCTGAACACATGCTTGCAGAATCCCAACATGAAAGAGCATTCACCTCCTCCAGCTGGTGAGGGTGTTTCTCCCCCACTGCCCTAGAACCTCACATAGTTTTCTTTGCACATATGATTTACAGTAGGGGCCATCTGCCTCCTCAGGGCCCCAGTCTGCACGCTGCTCCCTTGCTGGAGAGGCAGAGGTGTCACCCCACATTTTATATATAGCAGCTTGTCATATGTGGGCAGATCACTGGAGTGTCCTCACTTTGTCATTCCATTTGTCATGTTTGTGACATGTGTGCTCCCTGGCAGGTCCTCACTTTATCACATATGTGATCACTGGAGAGTCCTCCCCATATCATGATGCCAGGGACCTCACACATGACAAGGTGAGGACATCTCAAGGATTACATGCGTGATAAAGTGAAGATGTGCCAGGGATCACACATGTGATAAGACAAGGACATGCCAGGGATTACATGCATGATAAAACAAGGACATGCCAGGTGTCAGATGCATGATATGGGGAGGACTCTCCAGTGATCACATACCTGACAAAGTTAGGACATACCACGGATCACAAATATGACAAAATAAGGACATGCTGGTGAGCACACACATGATGAAGTGAGAACACACTAGGGGTCACAATGCATGACAAGGTGAGGCTACACTAGATCACACATGTGACAAGGTGAGAATATGCAAGGGATATAAGGATATACATGATCCTGATCATATTTGTGATCCCTGGTGTGTCCTAATTTTATGTATGTGATCACTGGAGAGTTCTCACCTTGTGTGTGTAATCCCTGACATATCCTTCTTTTATCATGTATGTAATCCCTGGCACGCCCTTGTCTTATCATGTGTGTGATCCTTGGCATGTCTTCACTTTATCATGTATGCCATCCCTGAGATGTCCTCACCTTGTCATGTGTGAGGTTTCTGGCATGTCCTCACTTTAATCATGTTTATGACCCTAGTGTGTCCTCACTTTATCATGTGTGTGCTCCCTGATGTATCTTCACCTTGTCAGGTACGTGATCCCTGGCGTGTCCTCACTTTATATGTGTGTGATCCTTGGTGTGTTGTCACTTTGTCATGTATGAGATCCCTGGCATGTCCTCACTTTACCATGTGTGTGCTCCCTGGTGTGTCCTCATGTTGTCATTTATGCAATTTCTGGCATGTCCTCACTTTATCATGTGTGTGCTCCTGGTGTAGTCTCTCCTTGTAGTGTATGTGATCCCTGACATGTTCTTACTTTAGATGTATGTATGGCCCTAGTGTGTCTTCATTTTATTGTGTGTGTGCTCCTGGTATGTACTCAACTTGTCAGGTACGTGATCCCTGGCGTGTCCTCACTTTATATGTGTGTGATCCTTGGTGTATTGTAACCTTGTCATGTATGAGATCCCTGGCATGTCCTCACTTTATCATGTATGTGCTCCTGGTATAGTCTCTCCTTGTCATGTATGTGATCCCTGGTGTGTCCTCACTGTATATATGTGTGATCCTTGGTGTAGTCTCTCTTTGTCATACATGTGACTGCTGGAGCTGGCCTGACCCCTGCTTTTATGGTGCCCATTTTTCCCATCTCTTTTCCTCTGTGTTTGCCCACTGGGCAGAGGCAGAATGTGTAGCTCCTCCTAATGTTCATTAGTGGCTCATAAAAACAAGTCCATTTAGGAGGGCAGAGCCAGTAGGGTGTGGCTGGGTTCCTACCTGCATCATTACCCCAGAGGGTCAGGCCTACCCATGAGACAGGCCTGTGGTTAGGCTCTTACCTGTATTCAACTTTATTTCTCTACTGTCCTGTGAGTGCTTTGGGCCTTGGTGAAGACATTTGGTTTCGATTTGATTAATAGGGTAGAACATCCTTAAAGGCCAGGAAATGACTTCTTCCTTTGATGTTCAATCTCCTGCATGTCTTTAGCTCACTTGTAGCTCTTCTCTTTCATGGCAGTCCTCTGCTGGCTCAGGGGTGAGCTCGCTGTCCGTCTTTCCTATTAAGCCTTCTTTGGCAAAGATGAGGACTTGGCAAGTGGGAGCAGAGGGGGCGGGAAGAGTCACAGGAGAGTGAGCAGTAGGGACAGTCCAATGGGCCTGAGACTAGGCAGGGTGCTAGTCAGCAGAGTGGCACTTTGATATCTGAAAAGCAAAGGAGTGGGTTTATCTGGAGAGCTTTCATTCCTGCTGTTAGAAGCCTGTGCAGGAGACATACTGTGAAGTCCAGAGCTGAGACAATGTTGGCCCAGCTAGGACTCTCCTTAGCAACCTTCAAAATAAAACATGTTGTCAGCACCAAGAACAGTTTTCATCTCCGGAGCTGAATCTGTCTCAGAGCTCTGATCCTACTGCATTGTGTAGTGCTGTCAAATCCCCACCCTGGCTGTCTCCCCTCCTCCACTCCAACTTCTAAATCCCAGCTTGAGGATTATTTTGAAAGTGATGCCTGCACTCCAATTGAGGGCTTCTTTGAAGTCCTGGTATACTGATCCCACATCCCCTGGGGGAAGCACAGGCACTGTCAGACATCATGGGTGAGCTCTGGGAAGCAATGTGCTTTGTAACTGGAAGGGATTTGTTGGTGACTGTGTTCTCCAGAGAGTCAGGAGAAATAAAGAGGCTAAACTGTGGCAAAGACTATTATTCTAAGGATCCTGTCACTTGTTTTCCTGTAGCGTGTCAGCACCATTGTCAGTGTCATCAGTGCACGTCTGCAGTATATATAGAACCCACACTTTCCCAGTGCTTAGACTAGGCACTCAATCAGTATTAGACTGAGTGGGCAAGTAAGCTATCCCCAGCACATAGATAAGGTAAAACCCAGACATAGGGAAACCAGAATTGTAAGCAGACATGTCCACGACTTAGAATACGCAGACCTTGCACATGAGTGTACTCACCAGGAGTATAAACAGCATAAAAAACAGCTGCATTCTTCTCTCTTCCTTTTGTCTCCACCCCCTTCCCTGTGCCCATGACTCATACTTTGCAGCTGCTTGGACACTTATCAGGCCCGACTACAGCATCAGGCCTTTAATCAGAACCTGCAGATTGCATTCTCTGCCCAGAAACCAAGGCAATTGGACTGACCCTAAATGCTGTCTCTAGAATTGTAACCTGTGCATTCCATCAGATACAACATGGAGTCTGTGTGGGCTAGTAGAGATGTGACCAAAAAAAGCCAGGAAGACAGGTAGCCCGCCAAGTACATAGGCCATCTCAGGTTGTATGACTATGGAATGTTGACACAGAAGCATGCCGGGGAAAGCCACGTCCCTATGCAGAGATGACACAAAACTCAGTTTTGCGCTTGGCATATTGTAATAATTATCATTTATTGAGCACTTGCTGTGTGTCGCACACTAGAGCAAGAACCTTATATGCATTAAATATTTAATCTTCTGTGAGCCAGGTACTACATGCATATCCTCATCTAAAAACTTTTATTTTACTTATGATTTTGAGGGTCAGGAATTAGGGAAGAACCCAGTGCTATTCATCTCTAGTTGAGACATCTAGCTGTCCCTCATGTACATGGTGGCAGCTTGGAGTGTCGAGTTTTTCTTGTCAATATGCCATGAGTCTCAGGCTTCTCACAGTATCGTAAGAGGGACAATTTCTTACATTGTAACTGCCTTCCAAGAGTTAGGACACTGCTAGACCGATTCAAAGGCATGCCTGATAACAGACATTACCACTTTTACTTTTTCCTACTGCTCAGAACAGTTTGGGGTTCGCCCAAGTGTGGAAGAAGAGACCTCTTTATTTTATTCTGATTTTTATGTGTATGAGTGTTTTGCCTGCGTGTATGTAAGTGCACCATGTGTGTGCAATGCCCAGGAGACCAGAAGAGGGCTTGGATCCCTGGGTATCTGGAGTTATGGATGATTATTAGCTGCCATGTGGGTGCAGGGAACCTAACTGGGTCATCTCTCAAGAGTAGCCAGTGCTTTTAACTGCTGAGGCATCTCTCCAGCTCTATAGAGACCCTCATGGCAGAAGGACAGGTCAGATGGCCATCTTTGGACAGTGGAATATACCCCCCAAGTGGTTGGTCCTTGTTTCTTGTTTGGGATGGCTTGTAGTTATGACCTGAATTGAGTTACTCCTAAGCACTGTCATCTTATATAGGAACATCTTTGGCTTTGGGAATCAGTTTCACTCCTGAGGTGCACTGAGCTGTTCCTTTTCTTATCTGTGGGGCTGGGGCCCTGGAATGAAAAGGCAGGTTGGAGCTAATTGGGGTCTTCTGGAACATTTATAACAGGATGGGAGGATCAGGATGATTTTTTTTAAAGATGAGAAAAAGGTCTTTTACTGGGATTTATGTCTTACTTTGAAGGAAAAAAATGGGAGTTGGTTTGCAAAATGAAGCACAAAGCAGCGGACGTAAAAATACAATCAAGATCAAAAGAGCTAAAAAGAATCTCAGAATAGATATTGCAAGGTAATTGGGATGAATTAGTTACTGCATTTGAGCACTGAATTTGCCTGTGAAGTTTTGAAGTCAAGACAAAAAAGATGTGATTATACAGATCTCCTCTGAGGAAAGAAAACATAAACTCTTTCAGAGAAGCAAACTTTTTCTTGGCACTGAATTTATCCCTCGCTTTTTCATTTTAGGGGCAGCGGATAATTTAATGGACAGTGCTTTC